TTTCCACAAACTACCATCATGTCAACTAGCTGCAAATTGTGAAGGGTATGAATTTTGTTGAATTTCTCCTTAAGCGCTAGCACAAGACTTAGGTTGGCTCAGAGATCCCAGATTTAAGAATTCCTGAGATGGGTCAAAAAGTTCTGCTGCTTCATTTTGAATCCATGATGTGCCAGGAATTGGATGGTTTAGTGACTGTGGAGAAATGTCAAGCCATCACCTCAGTTAACTGCACCTTCATCAGTAGATGGTTCAAGTGGCAGTATGTGCAGCTGCGCTTGTCTCAAGTTGGCTACCCGGACCATCAACTTTTTGAACACATGTGCACCGAAAGGTTGAAGACAGAGATGTCCAGAACTGGACAAAGATCTTTTTACTGATGCAAAGAACCTGAAGTAGAAAACAGAGCATCTCTCTTTTCTGGGACTGGGATTATTGTTCCACTAGAAGAAAATTAGCTACATACTTTTAAAAACACTTATCAAAGAGTGCTTGAACTAGCTTCTTTCTGGATATGGTGTCTGCATCTAAAGCCTAAAACACATTCTTCAAGTCAGTGTTTTGCAAAGAAGAGATGTAGCAAAGAATGATGTGACAGCATAGGAGGTATCAGAGGATATCTAGTGTTACCTTGATAGAAGTTAGCTTTTCTTATCTTCCTATATGTTTCAAAAGAGGATCTCTGTCTCCGAGAGAGAAGGTGATACACAGTGTTGTGCTAGCCAAAGCCATACACTCTGTGAAGTAGCTGGGGAACTGCACTACTGTTTATAACCTCCTTTCCGAATGTTTGGTGTCGTCAGGGGCTTACAGTGCAATCCAAACAAAAAATACTTCATTATAAGGTTCCTGAAGTTCATAAACACCAGACAGCAACATCTCACAAACAGGAATACTCAGAATCAGCTGAGGGGACGAAATTAATGTTCTGTAATGCATTCCACCCAAAAAGAAGGGACTAAAGGAGTATGAAGAAAGGTTAAGATATTTTGGGTACCATAAGTGCACATTTTTTCACTTTGACTTCTTATTGTCAAGAAAGAAGTCAAATATTTAATAGGAGAAACAGTCCCCCTCCCCCCGCCCATATCGTTACCACCCAGGTCTTTGGAGGAGATGCTTGAGAGTGATATGCCTTCTACACATCTATCCAAGAGCTTAAAATTCTCTTAATAATTTAGAAAAGTACACTCTCAAACGGTTGTTTGTTAGAATATACCTGCTTCTAGGAGAAAAATGTTGACATGAGCCAGCCCTCAAAAGTTACCTCTTCTAAAACTTATGTTTCACTGTGGACTATATAACTATGGTAAATATTTGAATATAGACAGGAAGAATTAGCTCTGAGATATATTTACAATGCTATAGATCTAGGCAAAAGGCTCAAGATGTGTTTACGTATGTCGGTTGAGTTTCTCCATTGATTTTGATGCCAAAAGATAACCACCACAAAAAATTACCATAAAAATTTAGATATTCAGCTCTGGATTTTGTCAGATAATTAAGCTTATGTGAGAGAAATCAAATTCTGATGTCACTTAAACAGCAAGCATTTAGAACTTAATTAAAAATATTTCAACACAGTAAAGAATATTCAGAAATTTAGATTTAATCTGTGCTAAGAGAAACAAAATGACTAAATGAGAAGAGCAACAAAAATTATTAAATGTCTAGAAAATATGACTTATGAGGGAAGATTAGACTAAACAAACCCAATTTTTTCAAAGAGAAGAGATGACAGAGGGGACATGATAACAGATTTCAAGTACGTAACAGGTTGTTAGAAGGAGGAGGAAGAAAAACTGTTGTTAACCTCTGAAGATAGGACAAGAAGCAATGGGCTTAAATTGCAGCAAGGGCGGTTTAGGTTGGACATTAGGAAAAACTTCCTGTCAGGGTAGTTAAGCACTGGAATAAATTGCCTAAGGAGGCTGTGGACTCTCCATCGTTGAATATTTTTAAGAGCAGGTTAGACAAACACCTGCCAGGGATGGTCTAGATAATACTTAGTCCTGCCTTGAGTACAGGGGACTGGACTAGATGACTACGGCTACGATTTAGTCATGGGTATTTTTAGTAAAAGTCTTGCACAGGTCACAGGCAATAAACAAAAATTAATGGCCTGTGACCTGTCCATTACTTTTAATCACAGGTATCTTTAGTATAACTTGGGGGGGGACACACTGAGGGGATGTCTCGGGGGGCCGCTGCTGGGGGCCAGCAGCACCAGCTGCCAGGGGCTCCTGACCACAGCTGCTCCAGCTGGCCACCTGGGGACCACTGCCTGGGGCTAGTGGACCGCGCCAGCTTTGCCGAGCTGCCCAGCCAGGGACAGCCACCTGCGGTGATCCAGTGGACCACGGCTGCTGTGGCTGGGGACCACTGCCTGCTGCCACTGGAGCAGCAGCTGGTGTGGCTGTCCCCTGGACCGCTCCAGCAGTGACTGGTGTGGCTGTCCTTGGGGCCACCTGAGCAGCTGGCCCTGGAGCCAGCCACACTGGCCACTGCAGAAGACATGAAGGTCGCGGAAAGTCATGGAATCCATGACTTCCGCAACCTCCGTGACAGACACAGAGTTCTATAGATCACCTCTCAAGGTCCCTTCCAGTCCTACAATTCTATGATTCTCAGGGCTTGTCTACACAGTCCGTGGCAGGCTAGTGCAGGGTATGTTCACGCTCCAGCTTGCCACAAACTGTTAGTGTAGACAAGCTGCAAGAAAAACTAAAATAGGTTTAAAAATGATGGCTGTCGATTAATTGCAGTTAACTCACGCGATTTAACTCAAAAAATTAATCGCGACTAATCGCAGTTTTAATCACACTGTTAAACAATAGAATACCAATTGAAATGTATTAAATATTTTGGAAGTTTTTCTACATTTTCATATATATTGTATTCTGTGTTGTAATTGAAATCAAAGTGTACATTGTTTTTGATTACAAATATTTGCACTGTAAAAATGATAAACAAAAGAAATAGAACTTTTCAATTCACCTCATACATGAACTATAGTGCAATCTCTTTATCGTGAAAGTGCAACTTACAAACGTAGATTTTTTTTGTTACATAACTGCACTCAAAAACAAAACAAAGTAAAACTTCAGAGCCTACAAGTCCACTCAGTCCTACTTCTTGTTCAGCCAACTGCTAAGACAAACAAGTTTGTTTACATTTACAGGAGATAATGCTGCCCGCTTCTTATTTACGTCACCTGAAAGTGAGAACAGACATTTGCATGGTACTTTTGTAGCCGGCATTGCAAGGTATTTATATGTCAGATATGCTAAACATTCATATGCCCCTTCATGCTTTGGCCACCATTCCAGAGGACATGCTGATGACGCTCGTTAAAAAAATGCTTTAATTACATTTGTGACTGAACTCCTTGGGGGAGAATTGTATGCCTCCTGCTCTGTTTTACCCGCATTCTGCCATATATTTCATGTTATAGCAGATAGTCTCTGACGATGACCCAGCTCATGTTCATTTTAAAAACACTTTCACTGCAGATTTGACAAAACGCAAAGAAGGTACCAATGTGAGAAAGGGGAGGAAGGGGGACTTCTGTCATGGCCGCACTCGGTGGGTAGGGAGTTGCAGAGTGAGCCTGCTCCGCAGAAATGGCCTCTACCGCTCCTGTCCCAAGTGATGCCTGAGCTCAGCTCCCTGCTCCAGGCGCTGCGATCTGGCCCCGGTGTGTGGGGTTACAGTACTGCTCAGCCCCCACTTCTAACAGGACAGGGGATTTTGTGAGTCAAAGCATAACAGTCCCACAAAACCCAGGACTGTTGGGAACTGTGCATTCAGCTGTAACTGCAATTAATCTAGTGTAAATCAACCACAATTCCCATAGACAGAAATGAAACACGCCACTAATCAGAATAAAAGACAAATTATATAAAGTGGCCCAGAAGTTAGGTCAAGTTAAAAGAAGACAAGTTAGGTGATGGAGTAACTGCATGAGACAGCACTGGCACAAAGCATCAACAGCTGAAAATAGTACCAACAATGGACCAAGCTATATTAAATGCAGAGCTAAACAGCTAACACTGGAATGGCCAGTGGCAGAAGAATTCTGTTGACTACTCAGATAGTCTTAGACATAAAAGCTCCTTATGCTCACATGCTGCATCTGTAGTGGAAATGGTAAAATCACTCAGTCTCTTCCCATCACCTTCTTTTGGGCCACATCCCAGTTGATCCAGGAAGACCTTTTTCAGAACCACAGAGCGGGTTTATGGGAGAGAGAAAGGGATTCACCATAGGGAAGGTATCCCAATTTTCTACACTTCTATCAGGCAGGGTAGAACAATACTATAATCCTCACTCTGTTTATGTGCTTTGGGTAGAAAAAAGAATGAAGCACTCAACTGCTGATGTATGGTTTTGGGTATTATTAATACTTGTATCCACTATTTCCTTTTCATCACCTACTTCATTACCATTCAGGTGTATGGGTATTCTATGTAAATTAGAGAACTAGCAATAAGACAAGCAATGTAGCTCACTTGTTATATGGAAAATATAACCAGACACTAAAAAGTCAAACGAGCCTATCAGTATACTATCAATGTACAAAAAGCGTATTACGATCATATTTATTGTCATTTAGGTCCAAAGACAATACACCACAAATATAACAAATGTGTCTTTCAACTAGTAAGAAAAGTTTGAACTTTTAAAGTATTAGGATATATATTCAACCACAGATGTTTAACATTCAGAAACACTGCAAAAGAAACATTTAGACAGACACTTCGTTTTATCATTACTTGACTGTGTTTAAATTCCAATAGTTTTCCCAAAACACACCATTATTAGATCCAGATAGCCTCATGATGTTTTAAAGCCATCTGCTTCAAAGCTATAAGAAATGGAAACTCAGGATAATTGAGCATACATATTCTCCAGTTCCAGAATTTATGTTTGTTGGTTGACATCACAAGATCTTGACCCTTTTCATTTAAAATTGAAAACAAAACCTGTGAACTACTCACCTCTGGCTGAATAGCTTTAAATACTGGGACATCCATTAGTGTTATCTGACCCTGAAATACAAAGTCATACATTACATTCAAAATTAATTTTCTGTCGGTTTAAAATCCTACATGGTTATAAGGTGCCAACTGTACTCTGTTGTATTTTGTTGTTTCACTATAATCATGCTGGAAACATCAGATATTATGAATCTGTTACCAACAAGTATCTTTGCTATTACCATTAAGACATGCTGCATACTTTTACATTATTCAAATAAACATAATCCTATCTACAAGCAAGTACGTTATTCTTATGAACCGAATCCTGCATTTGTTTATGAGAGTCCTGATTTAAAATGTATAAGCTATCAGGTCAAATATAGAAAGATTTCTAAAAATCGCCAAGAAAGCACTTTCAATTCCTCACGAACTCAGTTTCTCTCAATCCTCCAAACAGCCATCTCTTATTATATGTGTATCTTTTGAAACATTTCTGCATCTCATTAATCAATCATGTGTCATTTCTCATGTTTGTAGCATATGAACCACAAAGTTGAGTGGTTCCTCTGTCCCAAGGACACACGAGACAAAAGTCCATTTTTCCTGTCTCTCTAAGTTCTTATATGGCATCCCTCACTATAGTATCAGTTTATATGCCAAAAATTAAAAACAAAAGAATTTTCTTCCTTCCCACCAGCTAAAATTAATAAACAGTGGTTTGCTTTTTTGTTTGTGTTTTTAGCAAAGGTGACAAGAGGAGCTGTGTTTCTGTGTGAGAAGAACTACTGACAGAGATGGGTTTTGTATTTAGTTTTCTAAACTAAGGGAAATCAGACAGACCTAGCCTCACAAGTTCATTTAAGAGACAATGAATAATAGAACAAAGTTGTGAATTTCAGTTAGTTATTATTCCATACTCACCCTTTACGTAAGAGTTTCTTTCTGCAATCCTTTCACCCATACCAACCACAATAGTCTACATTATGTGTTTATGCTAAAAACAGAAGAGCTGCTTTTTAATTTAAAAACAAACCTGGGTGACTGAAACCATCTCTTACAAAAACAAACAAAATCAGTGTATTTTAGAAGACAAGGAAAAGGTGAATTATTCTAGAAGAAAAGACTTTTCACCACATCGTTAAAAAACTGCCTATAGTTATTAAATTATCATTCAGGAGAACATTGTCACAATAATCAAACCCAAAGAAATTCTTAACTCCCTGGGAATATTAAGTACACGCATGATGTCTGTGTATAAGCTGTTAACTTTTGTCAACAATACCTCCTCATATTTTGATTTTATTTCCAATCACAACTATAATGTCTGCTAGTGTGTTTACTTCTTGTCATTTTCTTTTCTTTTAGATTTCAGGCATTTTGACACAAACAGAGGAGAACTAAACAAATACAATGGCCAGGGGAGCAAAAAGGGAATGGTGAAGAGGCAGCGGCAGGCTCCCTTATAATCTTTAGCTCAGTGGTTAGGAAACTCACCTGGGATGTGGGAGACCCAATTCAATTCTCCCCCCTCCACCCCCCCATCACCTGATGTGGAGTAGGAATTTAAACTTTCATCTCCTACGTTGCAGGAGAATATCCTAGCCACAGGATTACAGGATAGTCCAGTGTGGATTTTTCCTCAATCTCTCCTGTTGAAACTGTTCTATTTTTTATAAATAAATAATCCTTGGAGCACAGATTTGAACTTGGGTCTCACATCCTAGGGGAGTGCCCTAACTACCTGGCTATACCGTCACTCTCACTCTATTTCCCTGGGTCAGTCACTATTCATTGTCTCAGAGAGATTAGAGAGGCTATAAAAATTAAAAAAAACTTAATAATTATGGTGGATTTCAACTATCCCCATATTGACTGGGTACATGTCACCTCAGGACGGGATACAGAGATAAAGTTTCTTGACACCTTAAATGACTGCTTCTTGGAGCACCTAGTCCTGGAACCCACAAGAGGAAAGACAATTCTTGATTTAGTCCTAAGTGGAGCCCAGGATCTGGTCCAAGAGGTGACTACTGCTGGACCGCTTGGTAACAGTGATCATAATATAATTAAATTTAATATCCTTGTGGCAGAGAAAACGCCACAGCAGCCCAACATGGCAGCATTTAATTTCAGAAGAGGGAACTACACAAAAATAAGTTAGTTAAACGAAAATTAAAAGGTACAGTGCGAAAAATGAAATCCCTGCAAACTGCATGGAAACTTTTTTAAGACACCATTATAGAGGCTCAACTTAAATGTATACCCCAAATTAAAAAAACCTAGTAAGAAAACCAAAAAAGTGCCACCACGGCTAAACAACAAAGTAAAAGGAACAGTCAGAGGCAAAAAGGCATCCTTTAAAAAGTGGACGTTAAATCCTATTGAGGATAATTGAAAGGAGCATAACTCTGGCAAAAGAAGTGTAAAAATATAATTAAGAATAACAGCTAGCCCAAGACTCAAAAAATAATAGCAAAAACAATTTTAAGTACATCAGACACAGGAAGACTGCTAAACAACTAGTACCGGGCAAACTGGTTGAAACTATAGTAAAGAACAAAATTGTCAGAGACAGAGAATGGAACATGATTTGTTGGGGAAGAGTCAACATGGTTTATGTAAAGGGAAATCATGCCTCATTAATCTACTAGAATTCTTTGAGGGGGTCAACAAGGGGCAGCCAGTGGATATAGTGTACTTAAGATTTTCAGAAAGCATTTGACAAGGTCGCTCACCAAAGGCTCTTAAAGCAGGAGTAAGCTGTCATAGTATAAGAGGGAAAGTCCTCTCATGAATCAGTAACTAGTTAAAAAATAGGAAACAAAGGGTAGGAATGAATGGTCAGTTCTCAGAATGCAGAGGGGTAAATAGTGATGTCCCACAGAGGTCTGTACTTGGACCAGTACTATTCAACATATTTATAAATGATCTGGAAAAAGGGGTAAACAGTGAGGTGGCAAAATTTGCAGATGATACAAAACTACTCAAGATAGTTAAGTCCCAGGCAGACTGCAAAGAGCTACAAAAGGATCTCTCAAAACTGGGTGACTGGGAAACAAAATGGCAGATGAAGTTCGATGTTGATAAATGCAAAGTAATGCACATTGGAAAACAATCCCAACTATACATATAAAAAGATGGGGTCTAAATTAACTGTTACTACTTAAGAAAGATCTTTGAGTCATTGTGAATGGTCTCTGAAAACATCCACTCAATATGCAGCAGCAGTCAAACAAGTTAATAGAATGTTGGGAATCATTAAGAAAGGGATAGATAAGACGACAGAAAATATCGTATTGCTTCTATATAAATCCATCATATGCCCACATCTTGAATACTGCGTGCAGATGTAGTTGCCCCATCTCAAAAAAGATATACTGGAATTGGAAAAGGCCCAGAAAAGGGCAATAAAAATGATTAGAGGTATGGAATGGCTTCTGTATGAGGAGAGATTAATAAGACTGGGACTTTTCAGCTCGGAAAAAAGAGATGACTAAGGGGAGATATGATAGAGGTCTATAAAATAATGACTGGTGTGGAGAAAGTAAATAAGCAAGTGTTATTTACTCCTTCTCATAACACAAGAACTAGGAGTCACCAAATGAAATTAATAGGCAGCAGGTTTAAAACAAACAAAAGGAAGTATTTCTTCACACAAAGCACAGTCAACCTGTGGAACTCTTTGCCAGAGGATGTTGTGAAGGCCAAGCCTATAACATGGTTAAAAAAAAACTAGATAAATTCGTGGAGGATAGTCCATCAATGGCTCTTAGCCAGGATGGGCAGGGATGGTGTCACTAGCCTCTGTTTGCCAGAAGCTGGGAATGGACGACAAGGGATGGATCACTTGATGGTTACCTGTTCTGTTCATTCCCTCTAGGGCACTTGGCATTGGCCACTGCACTAATATTAGGGTTTTTTTGCATTTCACTGCCCAATTCTTACGGGAAAAATATCAATCTCCATCAGCTCCGCCCAGCAGAGATTGTAAATTGCTTGAGCAGTGGGTATATGCTAAATACCTCCCACCCCAGCCTAGAGGCTTTCCCCTGGAAAGTTTACAATCTCTGTTAGAGTCCCATGAACCTGCAGAGTGGTCCACAACCCGAAGGCATCCCAGTACTGAATTTACAAGTTCCTTGATATGGAACCATTTGGCTTGCAGAGCTTACAATCTCCTTTGCAACTTTATAATAAATATATTTTTACACTGTATTAAACAAAAAACCCTAAAACACACAAGCAAAACTGCAGATTTCACACATTTAAAACTAATTAACTATTTCCCCCCCAAACCTGACTTGTTTTTTAAGTCTCAATGATATATAAAAAACAAGCCAAACTGAAGTGTCTCACTTGAACTGATTAAGTTAGAGGACAACATTTCAGCTCAGAATATGCGGGGAAATGTATTTTATGATGCTTACTTTATGAAAACAACTCAACAAATTTTGCTCAAGCTTCCTGAAAAAAATGACTTTTAAAACCAAGCAAGGAAAGATTCAGCCCAAATGGAATATGAAGTTAAATTAAAAACATGCCTATTAATTTGATTTTGGTACTGCAGACCCAGAGTAAAATTTCTTTCCCAAGTCCTTAGCACTCGCAAATCCATGGAAGAAGATTTTGGTGCTTTCTGACCAACTCCATCTTCTCTAGGTGGCTCAGTTTTTTTTGATACTTCAAGCAGAGTTCTGAAATGCTCATCTTGACTTGAATTGTTCAAATGAAACAAGTTTCCCACAATCATTTTTCTTTATCAAGTTACCAGTGTCCTTCAAGAAAAAATTTGTAAGTGCAATACAACTGTAAATTTGCAATATCTCTTTGTTCTGTCCTCCGGGTAGGTCTTTGTGAATAAGTATTTTGACTACAAAAATTAATATGGGAAAATTCATTCTTCTATATTCCAGAAAGAGAGTATGTCTAGCAATCTTATACATAAATTAAATAATGTCTCTATAGCTTAAAATGAAAGAGAGGAAGGACAGATAAAACAGATTCTAGAAAGATTTCAGAAGATCAACCAACCTACAGCAGAGACAGACAAAGAGAAATATATTTGGTTA